GGCGGCGGCTGCGCTGCGCGGCGCGGGCGGCTGACGCGCCTCTGGGGCCGGGCCGGGCCTTGGGGGGACCGGGACGAGGCGAGGCCGGGCCGGCGGCGGCCGGGGGACCGCGACGATGACTCTGGAGTCCATGATGGCGTGTTGCCTGAGCGACGAGGTGAAGGAGTCGAAGCGCATCAACGCAGAGATCGAAAAGCAACTGCGGCGGGACAAGCGCGACGCCCGGCGCGAGCTCAAGCTGCTGTTGCTCGGTGAGTCGCGTCCCGGTACCGCGGGACCTCTGTCATGGGGACCGGGTGGGCGACCCGGGCTTCGGGCCCGGCCGGGGTCTCCACGCGCGTAGGGCGCCCGCACCTGCGGGAGCTCCGGTCTTGGGCGAGCAGTGTGTGGTGACAGCTCCCCGCGAGCCCCCCAGCCCGCTGCCCGCGGCCGGCCCGGCCACCCCGGGTGTCCCCGGTGCAACTGGTCAGCGCTGCCCCGCAGCGGTCAGCCCTTCCGGGATCGCTGCACCCTAGCTCTGCAGGTGGCTTGGGCCTGTGGTGGCCAGCCTCCGCCGTGCCGTCCCCGGGGCTCAGCCTATGCAACCCTCTGTGGCCAGCTTCTGTTGCCCAGGCCGCAGATTCCTTCGGGGGCAGCCTCCTGCGCCTGCTATCCGAGGCGAGGTTTCTGCATCTGCTGGCCACTTCGGGCCCCCGGGACCCTTGGAGACTTGCTCTCTGTCCCTCCTGAGAATTCTTGCACAAAACTGGCCCCTGGCCCTGCCGCACCGAGTAGGCTCTCTCCTCTCTGCTGTACCCACATAGCCTCGGGTTTGCCCTATGGGCTGCTCTGCCCCCATGATACCCCTTTGATTTCCATATTCCCCAGGACAGTTCCCAAAGGGTTGCACCCACTTCTCTGCCTCCAAGGACTATACGCCCGAAAGGTCCTGCTTTGCTCATGGTTGGTTCCTTTCGTGGCTACTCCCCAACCTCCCTCCGTGTTCCATAGATCCTCTGAATTCCTCCACATTGGAGAGTGGGTGGCTTTTCTCCTTTGGGCTTCTGTTGCGCCTGAGCCTGGTAGGTTGACAGCAAGCAGCTTTGCACCCTCCCTGCCCTGGTCCTGCCTCCCTGGCGTCCAGGCTTGTCCTCTCCCCAGGACACCTACCCAGAGCAGCTCAACTTGTGTCTCCTGCTCCCTGGGGTTTTGACTCCTCAAGACACACCTGTTGCTGGGAGCCAGGGAGCCCAGATCCAGCTGTCCTCTTGTTGTCACTTCAAATAAGAGCCCAAAATGAGGGCAGGGTGGCCCGGGCCCTGTGGAGGTTTACAAAACAGAGAGTGGGGAGCTCTGCCTTCCCCTCCCAGCTGCTGGGTGAGCTGAAGACCCGGAATGGGTGTTCAGGGCAAAAGGTGGCCTTGTATGACCTGAGGAAAGGACTGTGGGGAGCCTTTAATTATGAGGGGTGGAGGGCAGTGATGCCATCATTGTCCCAAAGAGGGGACAAGTGGGGCGGACACACTGTCTCCTCTTGCTGTGGCCCTTTTGGGTCTCAGGGTCGCAGAGCCTCAGTGACTCCCCCCCACAATTCTGGGATTCCCTCAGAGTTCCAAGCAGCTTTCCAGGAAGGGAAGAGTGAGGAGAGGACAGAACAGCCCAGAGGGGGCAGCAGAGGCCCCAGGGCAGCCACGGGGGGCCACAGTGTGGCCCCAACTGACCTCTGCAGAGTCAGCAGCTCTCTGTTGGGACGGTGGTAGGAGCTGCCTGATAAGGGCGACATCAGGTGAATGAGCAGAGTGGCATGTCCTCCCAGCTCCGTGCCGTCGCCGGGACCCCGGCCTCGGAGTCCCCTCGCGTTCAGGGGTGCTCCCTGGTCTCCGTGCTGCAGCCTGGTAAGCTGGCCAGCAGCTGAAGGGCGTTGTGTTGACCTGCACACAGTGCCAGGCCTCCACCCTGGGCACTGCTGGGCTCAGCTCCCACCTGTTCCCTCGGGGCACCTGTGTCTGCAGTCACACCCATTACACAGAAGGCTCCTGTCCTGTTGTGGAGTGGCTGCTTTAGGGGAGCAGAAGGGTAAGGGGGAGGACAGGAATGAGCGCTGGGCACTGCTCAGGGCCTTGCTGGGAGGGCTTCCCGGAGGAGGTGACCGTGACCTTGGCTCTTTAGCAGTCTTTGCTTTTGGGCGTTATGGGGGGGTACTGTGACCAGTGCAGAGAGAGTCTGCCTATGAGCCCTGCCCCACCCCCTACAGGCAGCTGCTCCTGCACCATCCCTCATTTCATAGCAGATGTACGGAGCGTGGGACCCCTGTTGCCCTACCCCCTGAGGTGGAAGCAAGCCAGGCCTTAGTGTCCTGGAGCCCTGCCCTCTGGAGCAGCAGGGACCCCCTACCCTGAGCCCCCTCCGAGGAGGGTTCTGGCCTCTTTCCCCAGGCTGGAAGCCACCACCCTTCCAGTGGGTCTACACCCATGGGGAACAGTCTGGGAATGAGTTTTGTCCACCGCCGTGTCCTATCCCATCTTGTCCTGCCAGTCCCCATGTGGCCTGGGGAGATTGTTCAGCCAGGCAGAGACTGACTACGGCTTGTCCTCGGGGTGGGCAATGAACTGCATCCCTAGACATCACTCAGTGTCCCCAGGCTTAGACCCCCCCCTCCCCATGTCATGCATGGTGGTGCCTGATGTAAAATAACAACTTGCAAAACTGACTGGGGACCCGAGCAAGTTCTCAGAAATGGAGCCACACAGGAGTGGGCGCACCTCCCTGCTGTGGGGTGACACGCTCCAGGCTTGTCCTGTGACACTGGCGGCCCTGGTGGGACTTCCAGCCAGCAAGCTTCTGCTTCCACCCTTGTGGTCCCTGTGGTCCTCAGACTCTGCAGACCTTGGGGCTTTGGACTCCCTGAGCAGCCCCAGGCCGGGGCAGAGCGGAGCTGCACTGGGGAGCCAGCCACCCAGAACTCTCCTTGGAAATCCCTGTCCCCGAGGCCAGGCAGGGCTGGGCCCAGCTTTCTAAATAAAGCAGGCAGTTGGCTCCCAGCTTCCTGTCCCGAGCCTCGGGCTGGGCGGCCAAAGGCCGGGGATCCGGCGGGGGTGGCCCAAGGGCTGGGCTGGCCTCCCGCCCTGGAAAGGAGGCCTCAGCTGGTTCCCTACTCGCTGCTCCTGTCCCCAGACCCTGGTGGCTTCAGGCCACTCACCAGGAGGCCAAGGCCATGCTGCCCCTCCTCCATGGGGTCCTTGAACTGATTGCCAGTAAGACGTATTCTGTCCCAGCACTACCTGGGCACAGGCCCGGGAGGTTAAGGCCGGAAGAGCAGGAGTTGAGGGTCATCTCAGGCTACATAGGGAGCTCAAGGCCAGCCTGGACTACATGAGGCCCTGACTCCCAAAGGGGACAGGTTGTATCTCTAAGGATTCAGAGTTTCTACCACTGCAGTGCTGTCCCCACTTTGTGGTGAGACCTGTCATGACTGGACAAGGTGGCTGGATTAGTGGTGACCAGCCCAAGCCTGTGCCCGCACTTCCCCGAGAGTGTCTGCATGGCCCTGTGCTGTGGCCTGCCGCCTTTGGGAAGCAGGGTCTGCGTCTTTCTCCACAGACGGGCCCATTGCTTCAGCTGGAACCCTAATACGAGGCAGCCCCTGTGGCGCTTGTGCCTTCGAGGGGTGCCAGTGCTCGGACAGCAGCCTGGGGATGCGGATGTGTGCCGTAGCTTTGGGAGCTCCCCACCACAGCCCAGGCGGAGGCCAGGGCCATTGTGCGGCAGGGTCCAGGCAGTGGCACAGCATGTGGACGGGCCAGTGTGTTTGGGTGGGCCTTCACTGTGGCTCAGCATCTACACAGCATGTAGCTGTGTTTGCAGGTCTGGGCCTCGTTTTTCCGCTGTTTCCTTGGCGCCTGCAGCACTGCACGCAGGCCTCTCTTGGCTGTGAGCGATGGGGATACTGTTGCTCCCCGTGGGTCACCTCTGACCCTGCAGGGCACTGTGCAGTCTCTACCTGCTGTGTCAGGAGCTCCCCCAGTGTGGCGGTCCCACGTGACCCCAACAGGCTCTGGGATGGGATCAGGGAACACCATTTCCCCCATGTTCTGTGCCCTCAGCTTAGTGCAGGCCACCCACACGTGTGGGCTGGGTTGTTCTAATGGAGTGCCCTTTGGCCAATGGGATCAGCCTGGGCAGCCCCCAGCAGGCCCTTAGCTCAGGCTGCCGCGTGACAGCCAGAGGGGAGTGGGTTAAGGCCACAAGTAGTTCTTTGGGTATCCAGGCCTCAGTTTCCTCATCTGTCAAATGGGAACAATGTCCTTGCTCCATGGGAAATACTTGGGTTCAGTGTGAGGCAGTATGGCACTTAGGACAGTGTGCTCCGACACACTTGGGGACCCAAGTGCACATAAAAGAGTGTCCCCAGAATCTGTGGTGCTCAGGGTGCTAAGCTGCCAGGTACAAGGGTTTTCTGTCTTGTGTTACGCCTGGGCCGGGGTGGTACTGGCGTCCCCAGACCCCACAGCTTCTGGGTCACCACAAGGTCTGAGGGCGTCCGTGTGACAGGATGTGGTGACTGTGGGGATCACGGTGATGTTGCCTCATGGCTGTCCTCTGTGCTGCACATGGCCAGCAGTGGGCCCCTGCCATGGCTAGTTGACTGCAGAGCCGGGCCTGCTCTTGACAGTCCTGAATCCAAGCCTGACCTGGCAGCGTTGCTGCGGCTAGTGGGAACAAGCCTGTCACAGGTGCCAGTCAGCGCAGCCCTGCGCCGGGGAACTGCAGCGTCTGGGAGAGAGTGGGGACGAGGGCTGCTAGGCCAGGGTCTGTGCTCCTTAACTCCACCCTCCTCCCCCGTAACCTTGACCCTCATTGCAGCCCGGCTCTGCCCCTGCCCCAAGGGCTGCGGTTTGAGCCCACAGAGCGTCCTGCAGGGCCGTGTGCTGGACACAGGGTTATTGGCTTGGCATTGTTTGGATCCAGGAGCCTGATGGCATGAGGTGTTACAGGGAAGGCCTCTGAGGGGCCAGGGATCCAGCCTTGCTGCTCTTCTTTATGCCTCTCCTGTATAAGGAACAGGATTTTGTTTTCTGCCTTGTAGCCCAGGCTGGCCTCACAGTTACTATGTAGCTGACAATGACTTTAATTTCTGATTCTCCTGATGGCAGAAGTTGGCCACTCACTGAGCATGGTTTATGGGGTGCTGGGGATGGAACTCAGGACCTCACAAGTGCCCAACAGGTGCTCTGCCACTCAGCTGTAGCTGCTGCCCTGGTCTTTCTTGAACCTGGGCCCCATTATGTAGCTCAAGCTGGTTTCACACTTCCAACCCATAGTGCAGGTCGGTTGTTCTGTGCATTTCCTTCAGACAGGTAAAGCTCGGAGGCCAAACCTTCAAACTCCCGAGGTGTGGTGCCCGCCTTCAATCCCAGCCCTAGAGAGGCAGAGGCAGGCAGATCTGTGACTTCCGGGACAGCCTAGGCTACACAGTGAGATCCTAAAAAAGAAAACTGAGCAAACAAAACCTTCCAACGTGTAGTCAAGACAAACCTTTGTCAGCAAGCATCAGCCGCCAGCAGAGTTTTGGGGCCTGATACTGGAGCCTGGAGACAGGGTCACACCAGGCTTCCCTGTCTCTGTGGAGTTTCATAAAGGCTTTGGAGGCCCCACCTGGGACAGGGAACACGTCCCCACGATTAGCCACTGGCATGGCCTGTGGCCCTCTGAGGCCAACAGTGCCCACATGTTGAGGCCCCTGAGAGACTTTGCCACCGGCCAGAGATAAGATCAGGGCTGGGGTGCAGAGGCTGCCGCATGTGGCCTGTGACTGTTGGTGGCAGGCGTCCGCGTGCAGCTGTGCTTTGCACTGTCCAGGGCACTGTCGGGAGACAGGGACAGGGACCTGGCCTTACCAGCCACAGCACACAGGCGTGTTCAGGTCTGTCACGTAGTAGCCCTGTGACATCAAGTGGCTCTCAGTGACAGGCCCCATGGGTGCTGCTGTGGCTTGGACTCCACATCAGCCCTGGGGCCACACTTCCTCACCTCGCTCCAGGATTTCTGAGGACCTCCCCAGGGAGGGCATAAACTTGGGTATACAAACAGGTAGCCCTGCCTGTCCAGCATCACCTGTAGACGAGGTTATCCAGGTTCTGAGGGCATTCCTGCCTGGCCTTCCCACCTCACAGTCCCTAGCAACAAGAGCCATCTGGCGACCTCTGTGAGACAGCTCTGACCCCCACATGGCCTTTACTAAGTAAGACATTGAGTCCAGTTGTGAATATCAGGTCAGGAATATGGGTAGCACAGCCAGTGGCTGCGGGCCTTCAACCCCGTTCTCCCCACATGCTTCACCTACTCACTAATTTCTTCTTTCATCCACCCACCCACCCATCTACCTACCCATCCACTCAACTACCCATCCACCCATCCATCACCCATCTGTCCACCTGCCTACCCACCATTC